GCAATTAACACACGATGGCAAGAATATTCACAAACTTATATGTAACAAGTAACATAACACTAAATATATAATGAAACTGAATGGATTTTTAGGACAGTGAAACTCTTCTGATACATAATGGTGGATACATAACATTATGCAATTGTCAAAATCCCTAGAACTGTCCAACACAGTGAACCTTAATATAAACAACGGACTTTAGTTAATAATATATCCATATTGGTTCATTAGTTTTAACAAATGAACTACAAGATGTTAATGACAAGGAAAAGTATATAGATGGGAGGGAGTCATAGGGAAACTCTCTGTGTTTTTTGCAATTTTTTGTAAATATAAAATTGTTCTGAAAAATAAGTCTATTTTCTTAAAGTCAGTCCAGGGATCCTCCTTTATATGAATCCAATCTGGCATTTTTCTAAGTACAATTTCTCTGTTTCCAGCATTTAAGTCTCACTTCTCTGTGCAAGATTTTCTTTAGTTTTATATTTCCTAGGTCATTTCTGTCAGAATTAAGGGGTGGGGTAGTGAGAATTCAGACATATGTCCTCGAGCTGCCATCTGTTCTCCGAATGGTATCCCATATGTTGTTGATGTGTAGAGTTTTCATTGTTGACATTTATGAATTGACTATAATTGTACTTTGATTTCCTTCTTGACTCGAGTTAATTATGAGGGTGTTTAAATTTCCAAGTGGTATTTTTTTTTTAAGCATGTTACTAATTTCTGCTTCATTGCTCATTGTTTTGAATATGTGATTTGCGTAAGTCCTACTTTTTAGAGCTATTGAGAGGGGTTTTTTTTCTTGGTAGTTTAGTATATTGCCCATTTTTGAAATGTCCAGATATTTTATAGTGATGTATATTATTCTTATGTTATGAAGTCTATTTTTTCTCTATATATATTTTTGTTTATTCTTCTGTAAAACTTTGAACAATTTCATTATATATTTAGTGTTATGTTACTTGTTACATATAAGTTTGTGAATATTCTATTGCCATCATGTGTTGTATCTTTCATCAATATAAACAATCCTTTATCACATGAAATGCTGTTTGCTTTGAATTTAATTTGTCTAATAGCAGTGTTGTAATGAATGCCTTCTTTAATTTTTACTTGCTTGATATACCTTTGGCCATCCCTCTATTTCCACACTTAGATATCTAAGTGATGTGGTTTTAAATTTTTCTCTTTTAAACAGTATATAATTGGATCTTAGGGAAGTTTTAAAACAAGTTATTTTCTTAATGAAAGAGCTTAAGTCATTCACATGTATTGTGACAGATAGTGTTTCGGTTTGGTGTTATTTCAGTTACCTCAGTTTAGTCTTTCTATATTAAAGGGTTTTTGTTTGTTTCTTTTTTGCTATTTACTTGTTTTTTCTTTTTATTTGATTATCAATTGTGGTAGGCTTGAAAAAAGTCCTCCCCACCCCCCACAAAATCCATATTCTAATCCCTGGAACCTGTGATGTTACCTTATATAAGAAAAGGGAACTTTGCAAATGTAATTAAGTTAAAGATCTTAAAACTGGGAGATTATTCTGGTTTATCCCAGTGAGTCGCAAATGCAATCACAAGAGGGAGGCAGAAGGGGGCGTGACACACAGACAGAAGAGGAAAAGGCAGAGCTTGGGCTGATATGGTCACAAGCCAAAGACTGTTGGCAGTCACCTGAAGCCAGAAGAGGCAAGGAACAGATTCTCCCCTAGAGTCTCTGGAGGAATCATGGCCTTGCCAAACTTTTATTTTTGCCCAGTAGAACTGATTTTGGACTTCTGGTCTCCAGAGCTGTGCGAGAATAAATTTATGTTGTTTTAAACCATCAAGTTTATAGTAATTTGTTATAGCCACCATAGGAAGATGATTAAAATTTCTTCATTTTTATTTCACTCTGTCATAGCTTATCTTTAACTTTTAGCTTTAATATATCTCTATCAAGGTAAAAAACAAAAGAGATACCCAAAATACATAACAAAATTGAACATGATGTCTTTTGTACTCTGTCCCTTCACTCAACTCCCTTAAGTTTTTCCTGAAATGTTTCATAATCATATTTATAACTATTTTGTAAGCATTTCATGTGTTTCTAACTTCATTGCTTACCATAGTTGTTATTCTATGCTCTTTCCTCTTCTTGAATTTTTATTTTTGATTCAATTCTCAATTAGCTGAAGTATGCCAGGAAGAGTATATAATGTTATATTTTCTTCCTTCTTATATATCTGAGAAAATTGTTCTGTGCCTTGGCACAGAAATTATATTTACAAAGTTCTTGGATCATAATTTTTTTCAAAACTCTGAACATGTTGTTTTACTATTTTCTGGCATTAAGTTTTGTGGGAAAGAGGCATGATAATTTAAGATGCATTTCCTTTAGGTAACCTTCAATTTTTTTTACCCTGCCTTAAATGCCTGAAGATGGTTGATCTCTGAAATTAAATACTCTTTTGATTGTATCTCAAAGTCGGCATCTTTTTATCAACATTGACTGCTCTTCTGGACACTCTTGTTTGTGGCTTTTCCTTTCACTCCAGATTCTGAACTGTGCCTGTCACCTCCCTCAAGACAGCTGCAGAGCCCCAGGATCCTTATAACCTTCTCACCATGATGTTCCACCCCACAGGGTTCTGCCATTGTGTGCTTTCTTTTTCATCCTTCTCTGATGCCACCTCCTCTTCTGTTTGTGGCCAGCCTTAATAATTCTAAATTCATGGATCACAGGTAGAAACCCCAGTTTTGTCTAAGTAGACGATCGATTTTTTTTTCTTAAACCTAGTCATTCATTTTTCTCTTTCTCTATTTATCACTTTTTCCCAATAAATAATTTTTCCTTATAGTTTTCATGGGAGCCTTCAATTTCTTTTTTTTAACCTTTTTTCTAACTTTTTATTTTAAGTTCAGGGGTGCATGTGTAGGTTTGTTACACAGGTAAACTTGTGTCATGAGGGTTTGTTGTACAGATTATTTCATCATCCAGGTATTAAGCTTCATACTCATTAGTCATTTTTCCTGATCCTCTCCCTCCCCGCACCCTACACCCTCCTATAGGCCCCAGTGTGTGTTTTTCCTCTCTGTGTATCATGTGTTCTCATCATTTAGCTTCCACTTATAAGTGAGAATATGCAGTATTTTGTTTTCTGTTCCTGCTGAAGATAACGCCCTCCATCCATGTCCATCCATGTCCCTGCAAAGCACATTATCTCATTCTTTCTTATAAGCCTTGAATTTCTAACCATTCCCCAGAACCTCCTCCCTATGGTGCCTTTCACAACATTAGTGCTGAGATGCATTGTGGAAATAACAAACAATAAAGAACAACAATGTATTCGATTGTCATTTGTCTGATCCAGAGAAAGAACAAAAAGGCATGAATTCAGAACAAAGGTAATTGCCAAGAAGAAAGTGAAGTAAATGCTCTCCGTTAGACTTCAGTCTACAAGTTACTCTCCTACTCCCTCTGGATTTGATCTTAATGTTACAAAGCAGAGATACAGCCAAACTCTTGGAAGAAATGAGGCTCCAAGTTACCTGAAAAATGTTCACCTTGATCATCCCTTCAAATATATTGCATTTAATCACATTCTAAATATGCTCTTCACATAAGAGAAATTAACTTCTTAAATCCCAATTTCCTTTTCTAATTATGCAAAAAAGATTGTACACAGATAATTAAAAGGTGTGGATAAAGTTAATAAAAGAGACAGTGGGAAGGAAGAGGAGACCCAAAGCCTGAGCCTAATGAAGTGGATGAAAAAGGGGAGCTTTCTGATGGTGTCAGTGCTGTTGATGATAAATGATTCAATACCACACATAGGCTCCCTAAAACCGGAACCCTTCTATCATCTCTCAACTCCCACTGATAAAAGACAACTGAACTTTTGTTTCTAATTATTCTGGAATGTCAATTGTGGCAGAAAAAAATTAGTGTAGCTTTAAAAGTCAATTACAAACAAATGTACCATGCAAATGTCAAGGGCTGATCCTGAAATATGGAGTTTCCAAGAGGCCAAGGGAATAAGTGAGCAAGAAAGAACTGGAAGCATTCTCAGTCATCATGGCCAGCAGTACAAATTCTAGCACCAGGGACCAAAATCTGCCTCCTGGTGTGGAGATGAAAAGGGAGAGTTCCCTGGTCCATCCATCACAGGACATGGGACAAGGGTATGGCTCTCTGTTCAGCTGCCTCAAGCTCAAACTCCTTATAGTAGGGGAAGCACACAGAAGGGTAGGTGCAGGAGCCAGGGCAAGCACTTTGAACTCCAGCCCCACAGTAGTGTCTGGGGTGGGTGCCTATGACTCTTGAAGCCACAGTGTTATAGTGCTGTTTTAACTCTGCCGCCTGCAGATGGCTTAAGTAGTAACCAGCTCAGTACCCTCTTGGTCCTCAGGTCCTTGTCCATAGTCCAGGAAGAGTCAGGTCACACACAGATTTGAAGGATGAATGCAGGAGTTTTATTGAGTGGTGGAGGTGGTTCTCAGTGGGATGGATGGGGAGCTGGAAAGGGGATGGAGTGGGAAGATGATCTTCCCCTGGAGTTTGGCTATCCAGGGCCAATCTCCTCTCTGATTGTCCCCAGCTGAACTCCTCTTGGTGTTCAGACCCTCCTTCTCTTCTCTCCTTCGCTGCTATGCCATTCTGCTATTCGTCTGCTCATCTCCTCCTGGAGCCTGGGATTTGGGGTTTATATGGGTACAGGATAGGGGCATGTGGCTGGCCAAAAGGCAACTTTTTGGGCACAAAAACAGGAATACCTGTTCTCATTTAGGACCACTGGTTTCCAGGCTTGAAGGTGGGGTCTTTGCTGGGAAACTGCCCTCTTCCATCCAGTATTTCCCTTTCTCTTGTCCATATAAGAGAGTTATTTCCCTTCGTAACCCAACACTCACTCTTTCTTTGGTTCACCTCTCAGGTTTCTAAATAACACAAGGTGCTATTCTTTCCATTATGTGCATTTCCTCACCTCTTTGAAGTCATGAACTTCCTCTCATTTCTCTCTTTAGGTTGTGCTGCTCTACGCCTCTACCTACGTCCTGGTGTCCCTCAGCATAGACAGATACCATGCCATCGTCTACCCCATGAAGTTCCTTCAAGGAGGTAAGCTGGCTTGACCAGGTGATCTTTCATAAAGAATTGTCCTTGTGTGAGGGTAGGATTGTTTTCACTATTATTTTACTCTTAGTAATAGTGATCTTCCTCCTCTTTCCTTCTCTTTCTTCTCCACTCTTCATTTTCTTCTTCCACCTCTTTCCTCATTTCATGGGTCTGATTGTCCAAAAAGATGTATAAAAGAAAACTTAGATGCCTGAAAAAATGTTGATGGTTCCCATGGACAGCCCAGAGCCACTAAGGAAGGTGGGTTACTGACCCACTTTGTGACCATTTACCTTGATGCTGCTGCTTCCGTCTTTTTCCTCTAGAGCAGTGTTGACATGCATACCTGTCCAAAAAAACAAACTCTCCCACACTAACTTCTGATTTTCCAGAGACAAACACCTTGTCCTCCTTATCCAAAACCATAGAAATAATCAGAAAGACATTTTAAATTGATCATCGTATTGGTAAAAAAACAACAACAAAAAAGGAAACTCTCCTTGATCCAGAAATGGTGAGGGATCCCTAAGAAAAGGAAGCAGATAGGTCAGGGGGAAGGCTGAGACCACACAGCCCACAAAACTCCCAGGAGATGCTGAAGTGGGATGGGAGGCCTTAAGAGCACTTCCTGAACAGGCTGCATAAATATGGAGTGCAGGAGAGGAACTGAGGCAACTGACAAGGTGATTTTTTAAGTACAACACAGAGGATTAATCACAGCAAGTTTCCCTGGATTTTAATTAATCACAGCAAGTTTCCCTGGCAGAGTGGGGCCCTGGGGAGCAGTAATGCCCTAGAGGAAGGGTGGGTACATATTCACAAGACTAGCTGCCTACTGCTCTGCCCACAATCAGAGACAACTCTCCTCCATACACCCTGAAAGCAAATACAAAGCGAGTGTTTAGCAACCTGTCGTCCCTTCCTCCAGATAACTTTGAAAACTGATAAAGAACCTACAAAAAATCTTGACCACAAAAATGAGGTGCAATCAAATGTTATTTAAAAAATGACAAAATCCAAACTGTAGAAAACAGATAATACATTTAAAATCTCATTCCACACAATTTGCATCTAGGGAAGCAAATTTAATAGAGGTAGCAGAATTTTAGGATAAATATGATTAACGTCAACAAGGATCTACAAGCAGTGGGGTGAAATAGGGTAATTTCATTTACTATTGACAGGGGTATAAGTAAACACATCTTATTGAAATATAAAATGTACAGCCCTTTGATATGACTTCCTGGTATGTGCTCTGGAGAAACACCCACATGTGTGCATGTATATATATGTGATATATATCATGGCATTGCCTACAGTAGCAGGAATTCATTGCTAACCTTGGCGTGTCTCAGTGGAGGAATGGTTAACTAGTCTATGGAAGAAGTTTCAGTAGCTTATGTTTATTGATTGCATACTAGGTGTCATTCATGATTCTAACTGATTTATACATATTAAATATTTTAATATTCATAATATCTCTGTGAGGTGGGCTCTATTATTATCTGCATTTTACAGGTAAGGCAATTGTTGTTCCAAGAGTGAAAGTAATTTGCCCAAGGTCACAGCTAGTAAGTGCAGGAGCAGGATTTGAATCCATACAGTTTGGGTCTAGCTCCAGCGCCCTCAAATGCTATATAGCCTGCCTCTCAATGTGGAAGTGGTAGAGCCATGGGCAGTAATACACATCAACATGAACATATCTACATTGTATGCTGAGTGACAAAAACAACATGCACAAAAATCCATGCAGAATGACATTAAAGTCAAAAACTCAAAACAGTGCTAGATACTGTGTACCGAAAGAGAGGAGCAGAAAGAGAGAACACACAAAAGAAAACTCTAGGAAAAATAAACAATTGTTTGCAAAAACTCACACCAAACTTGACATCTGACCTCACTTCTAGTTATGGGAGTTAGACCAGTGGTGTGACCACCACAGGAACTTATATGCAAGGCAGTAATTTTTACATGAAGATAAATGTGTTGTGTGCAATTAAAATTAATTTATTTTGATCATGCTTGTTATGCCTACTGTACAGCATAAGACATATGAGTAACAATACTAAATTGTATACTTAAGAATTTGCTAGGGATCTGTTCCAAGATGGTCGAATAGGAACAGCTCCGGTCTGCAGTTCCCAGCATGATCGATGCAGAAGACAGGTGATTTCTGCATTTCCAACTGAGGTACCTGGTTCTTCTCACTGGGACTGGTTGGACAGTGGGTGCAGCCCACAGAGGGTGAGCCAAAGCAGGGCAGGCCGTCACCTCACCCGGGAAGCACAAGTGGTGGGGGGATTTCCCTTTCCTAGCCAAGGGAAGCCGGGACAGACTGCACCTGGAAAAACTGGACACTCATGCTAAATACTGCACTTTTCCCAAGGACTTAGCTACTGGCAGACAAGGAGATTCTCTCACATGCCTGGCTCAGCAGGTCCCATGCCCATGGAGCCTTGCTCACTGCTAGCACAGCAGTCTGAGATTGAACTGTGAGGCAGCAGCCTGGCTGAGGGAGGGGCGTCCACCATTGCTGAGGTATGAGTAGGTAAACAAAGCAGCCAGGAAGCTCAAACTGGGCGGAGCCCACCACAGTTCAGCAAGGCCTACTACCTCTATAGGCTCCACCTCTGTGGGCAGGACATAGCTGAACAAAAGGCAGCAGACAGCTTCTGCAGACTTAAACGTCTCCATCTGACAGCTCTGAAGAGCGCAGTGGTTCTTCCAGCATATTGTTTGAGCTCTGAAAATGGACAGACTGCCTCCTCAAGTGGGTCTCTGACACCTGTGTAGACTAACTGGGAAACACCTCCCAGCAGGGGCCAACAGACACCTCATATAGGCGGGTGCCCCTCTGGGACAAAGCATCCAGAGGAAGGATCAGCCACCAATATTTGCTGTTCTGCAATATGCTGTTCACAGCCTCTGCTGGTGATACCCAGGCAAACAGGGTCTGGAGTGGACCTCCAGGAAACTGACAGACCTGCAGCTGAGGGACCTGACTGTTAGAAGGAAAACGAACAAACAGAAAGGAATAGCACCAACATCAACAAAAAGGACATCTACACCAAAACCCCATCTGTAGGTCACCAACATCAAAGATCAAAGGTAGATAAAACCACAACGATGGGAAGAAACCAGAACAGGAAAGCTGAAAATCCTGAAAACCAGAGGACCTCTTCTCCTCCAAAGGATTGCAGCTCCTCCCCAACAATAGAACAAAGCTGGACTGAGAATGACTTTGACGAGTTGACAGAAGTAGGCTTCAGAAGGTCGGTAATAACAAACTTCTCCGAGCTAAAGGAGCATGTTCAAACCCATCGCAAGGAAACTAAAAACCTTCAAAAAAGGTTAGACAAATGGCTAACTAGAATAAACAGTGTAGAGAAGACCTTCAATGACCTGATGGAGCTGAAAACCATGGCACGAGAACTTTGTGATGCATGCACAAGCTTCAATAGCTGATTCAATCAAGTGGAAGAAAGGTTGTCAGTGACTGAAGATCAAATTAATGAAATAAAGTGAGAAGACAAGGTTAGAGAGAAAAGAGAATAAAGAAACAAACAAAGCCTCCAAGAAATATGGGGCTATGTGAAAAGACTAAATCTATGTCTGATTGGTGTACCTGAAAGTGATCAGGAGAATGGAACCAAGTTGGAAAACACTCTTCAGGATACTATCCAGAAGAACTTCCCCTACATAGCAAACAAGGCCAACATTCAAATTCAGGAAATACAGAGAACACCACAAAGATAATCCTCCAGAATAGCAACCCCAAGACACATAATTGTCAGATTCACGAAGGTTAAAATGAAGGAAAAAATGGTAAGGGCAGCCAGAGAGAAAGGTCAGGTTACCCACAAAGGGAAGCCCATCAGACTAACAGCAGATCTCTTGGCAGAAACCCTGCAAGCCAGAAGAGAGTGGGGGCCAACATTCAACATTCTGAAAGAAAAGAATTTTCAACCCAGAATTTCATATCCTGCCAAACTAAGCTTCACAAGTGAAGGAGAAATAAAATTCTTTACAGACAAACAAATGCTGAGAGATTTTGTCACCACCACGCCTGCCTTACAAGAGCTCCTGAAGGAAGCACTAAACATGGAAAGGAACAACCAGTACCAACCATTGCAAAAACATGCCAAATTGTAAAGACCATTGGTGCTAAGAAGAAACTGCATCAATTAATGGGCAAAATAACCAGCTAACATCATAATGACAGGATCAAATTCACACATAACAATATTAACCTTAAATGTAAATGGGCTAAATGCCCCAATTAAAAGACACAGACTGGCAAATTGGATAAAGAGTCAAGACCCATCAGTGTGCTGTATTCAGGAGACCCATCTCATGTGCAGAGATACACATAGGCTCAAAATAAAGGGATGTAGGAGGATCTACCATGAAAATGGAAAGCAAAAGAAAAGCAGGGGTTGCAATCCTAGTCTCTGATAAAACAGACTTTAAACCAACAAAGATCAAAAGAGACAAAGAAGGCCATTTCATAATGGTAAAAGGATCAATTCAACAAGAAGAGCTAACTAACCTAAATATATATGCACCCAATACAGGAGCACTCAGGTTCACAAAGCAAGTCCTTAGAGACCTACAAAAAGACTTAGACACCAACACAAGAATAATGGGAGACTTTAACACCCCACTGTCAATATTAGAAAGATCGATGAGACAGAAGTTCACAAGGATATTCAGGACTTGAACTCAGCTCTGCACCAAGCAGACTTAATAGATATCTACAGAAATCTCCACCCCATATCAACAGAATATACATTCTTTTCAGCACCACATCACGCTTATTCTAAAATTGACTGCATAATTGGAAGTAAAGCACTCCTAAGCAAATGTAAAAGAACAGCAATCACAACAACCTGTCTCTTAGACAACAGTACGATAAATTAGAACTCAGGATTAAGAAACTCACTCAAAACCACACAACTACATGTAAACTGAATAACCCACTCCTGAACGACTACTGGGTAAAT